CTGTTTGTTTTAGTAATTAATAACAATAATAATATCGAAAATTAGTTTTAGTTTTTTCTAGGATTAATTTTCTTTTTCAAAGTACTATACTGTTTAGTTCATTTGGGGGATAGTACTTTATCTTACCTTATGAGCAAATAATTAGAACAATGTAATTTTAACATTTATATTTGTATGTGTATTTGAACTTGATGTTTTTGAAATGCATGAAATGGAGTATTTAGTGTTTACTTTCACTGCTAGATGAATTCTGGATCTTTTTAAAATACAATGTTGGTATTAACATTTTGATACCGCGTGAAATAAATAATAATACACTAATATTGCAATTTTGCTTCAGTATTACAGTCAATACCTTGGCAGTGAGGTTTGTCATATACAAAAAGTGGCTTTAGGTTACATTAGAGGCTGGGTATAGTGGTTCATGCACTTCGGGAAACCAAGGTGGGAGGATCGCTTGAGCCCAGGAGCTTGAGACCAGCCTGGGTAATGTAGACCCTGACTCTATAAAAAATAAAAAATGCTTATTAGCTGGGTGCATTGGCATGTGCCTGTAGTCCTAGCTCTCCAGAGGTGGAGGCAGGACGATCATTTGAACCCAGGAGTTTAAGGCTGCAGTGAGCTATGATTATGCCACTGGACTCTAGCCTGGGCAGCAGAGCAAGACCCTGTCACTAACAAAATAAATAAATAAATTTTATTAGAGATAGGAGGAAACTTCAGGGTTCCTTGAGAAAAGATAGGAGTAAATCAGCAAGAGACCCTCTGAGGAAGGTACAGTTGATACATTAATTCATTGAACGGCTCTTTGTTCAGCATCATCATTTGTTCTGTGATATGGACTGTTTTAGACTTTGGGAATACAGCTGTGTACAAGACAGACAAGGGTCCTTGCCTTCCTGAAGCTTACATTCTAGTTAGTGAAAGAATACTTGCAGATTGCCATAAGTGCTGTTAGAGGTAAACGAGAGCCATGTTAGGAGTACCTGAGTTGTGGTGGCACTTTTGGGTAGTGATGTCAGAATCAGGGCATAAAAAGAGAGAGAGACTTTCATATGTAACTTTGTATGCCTCCAGGAGATGTTGAGAATTGCAATATCAGTGTTTATGTGGAGCTTATAGAAACAAAAATTAAGAACCACTAATTTAGCAGATGAGGAGACTGAGGCACACGTGTAAAATTGATACATTGTAACATATCCAGAGTTGTATAACTCATTAGTGAATGAGCCGGGACTGGAATCTTATTTTCCTAGTTTCCATTCACATTCATTCATTGTTCTTTTGTATTTTTTTCAAATGAATGTTTTTTCAGCCACACCAATCTGAACCCCACCAAAATTGTGTTTTATTATTGACATATTGGATAAGTTAGGGGAAGGTCTTGGGAGCTGCTTTCAGATGGGATGGGAGAAGCCTGTAAGAAGTATGCACAACTAATCTTAGAATAATTGGAATTAAATATTTCAAAGACCTTGTAAGCGAGAATTACGGCAGCAAGATCATTTGCTGCTGGTAAACCATATGCTTTTACAAATTGAACATTGTGCTGGATTGAGCAGAACTTCGCACTCCCGACCCCCAAGCTTAAGAATTTTATTTGAATAGATCTATAGATTTCATCAAATGAGGAGAGTTGAAGTTGGCAGCCTGGGTTGATAAAGGAAGGAGATTAGGAGCTTGGTAGATGGAAGGGTGAATTTGTAGAAGCAGTTCTGCGCCCTGTGGCAAGTTGAACAGCCAGGCTGATGGTGCTTGTTACGTGATGCCCCGTGTGTCTACCTGGTGGCCCATCTGTGGGGATTCACCCCGTGTACTTCAGCCAGTGGCTCAGACTGGTTTTATTTGTGGTGCATTTTAGGGTGAGTGGATAGAGGCCCTGCCAGCTTCCTCAACCCCATAACAATGTAGAGCAGGGTTGGCCAGGATTTGGGGCCACACGGTTTCTGTTGTAATTACAGATCTACCGTTGGCATGACAGCAGCTGTAGGCACTGTGCACTTGTATGAGTTGGCTGTATTCTAATAACACTTTGTTTGCCAGAACAGGCAGCGAGCCAGATTTGGCCCAGGGCCTTGGTTCGCTGACCCTGCTTTATTATGAGGTCAGGTATATGGGACATGTTCAGCAACCCTAACAAACAAGAAATATTTCTGCTACTCCTTCCATCTTTTTTAACTTTTGGGTAATTTGAAATTACAGTCCATTGAATGTGGCTGTTCAAGAATGCAGTCTACAGTTTGACCTTGACATATCAAAATCCAACAAAATGCATTTTGATATTTTCCTAAGTTACATTCTTGTTAGATAGCCTTTCCCCTTTTTCTGACAGATGTTAGAAGAAAATCTTTTTTTATTTCATCAAGCTCTTACTTCAGAAGAGAGTACTATGTTTCATAAAGAAGGAATATTGAGATATAGTCCTTTTTAATCAGGTAAAACTAAAATTAAAATTTATTGGGATAGCTAATCATTAGAAGACTAATCAATCAAAGTTTGCTTTTAAAAAACCTTACCCATTTTTTATTTGGATAGACTGTTCATCCACCTTATTATAAGTTAATTGATATATGCCAGGTCAAGAAATGGCATTTTTAATGAAATATTATCTTTCTGTTAATAATGAGTCTCTGTAGATATATGGAAATATTTTTGTGAACTAATGAAATATGAGAAGAATTTAGTCTCTTTGTGATTATGACTGTATAAGAGTATGTTTGATACAATCATAAGGAGAAAGGAAGAGATTTTTGGCTTCTGTTTTTATTGCCTTCAGGAAATTTCCATTTTATCTTAAAGTTATTTACATATATAAATAAAACAATTCAGTTAGAATTTAAAAAATCCTTAGTGGGCTGCAATATGAAATGAAAGTAAAAATTTCTTTTCTAAGCCTTAGGCTAATATGTAGGGCATTCATACCATTTTAGCAGCATTTGTCAGAAAGGAAATTGATAAAAGTTGGTGGATTTTTTTTATTGTTGTTTTTGGTTGCCATAATGAGCACTTAAACTTATTCTGCAATTTTCTTTTCATTTGACCCTGGATGAGCCACTGGAAGGTAGCCTTTTCTTAAGTTCCCTTTTGTGCCTTAAAATCTCCTTGTTTGCTTGTGTCCCTTCACGTGGTCTTTGAGAAGTGCCCAGATTACAGATTAAATATGTACCAGTAAAACAGACTAGACCAATGTTGGGCATATGGCAGTTGTGTAGTAATTCATAGTGGTCATCGTTGTTATTTTAAAAATCCTACATTTTATCATCTTGACTGGTTCATTCTTTTTTAACTTGTTCATGCATTTTCTCTCCTGAAACACATGGCTCACACTTATCCTTTGAGCCCTGGCGCTTTCTCCTTGTCACCGTTGCTCTCTCACCTCTGCCGTGGAAGCCTTGGCGATCTACCTTCCAGCTCCATCCCGGCTCCGTCTCTCTTACGTGCCCATGCAGCCACCACGCTGCGCGTTTTTTCTTCATCTCCCTATTCTACCCCGTTGTCATTCTGGAGGCTGCCTCTTTTCTTTAGTTTCTGTGACAGGCAGCCTCCTGATCCTCCTTGTCCTGTTTGTACGTTTTCTCTTTGCTTCTCTGACTGTAAGTCCTGTCATCAGCCACCCCATGTTTGTGCCCCCCAAAGATCTGTTGTTGATCTCTCTTCCTCTCCCCTACCCTTGGTGATCTTAGCTCTTCCTCAGGCTTCGGGTGGCCCGTGCAGACGACTGTAACGTGCGTTGCTCACCCACCTGTTTTGAGCTTAAAGTTTATATCTTAAGAGGTCAACCTAGGGGATCCGTGGGCCTCTCAGACTCGGCATGTCCTAAACCAGACTCATCTTTTACTGTCCCCACAAGCCTCTCCAGTGCTCCACTTAGCTGTTGACAACAGTTCCATTCTCCAGCCACCAGGTTCTGGCGCCGACCTTTGCCGCGTCCCGCCCTAATTCTCCACATTGCATTCGTTGCATTTTTCGGATTTACCCTTGTAAAATACCTTTTCTTTCAAAAATGTTTCGTGTATGCATATATGTACTGAGAGGTATCTGAAAAGAAACTCACCAAAAATGTTTAAAGTCGTCTTGTCTCTGGATGCTGGGATTCTGTACTGTTTGAGTTTTGTTTTTTGTAACAGGCCTTTATCACTTAGAGACTGTCGTGCCACACCTGCAGTCTGCCTTCTCCACACGCCCCTGCCCTGGACCTCGTCTGCTGGGCTCCTGGCTGTTCCTCGTGCACACGTGCTTCTTGCCCTTGCTCCGTTACTCAGTGCCATCCGTTCTCTGTGTCTCCACTCACCATTTTCAGGGCTCCTTTCAAGTAAGCTTTCCTTAACGAAATGCTTCTCCAGCTGAATGTGCGTCTTCCTTCCATGAACCCTTTGGTCCCTGTGCCACCGTCTGTGTTCTGCCTTACGGTCACCTTACAAGTGTTTTTGTGTTATATCCTTTATTAGATTGTAAGCCCCATGAGGGCAGAGATTGGGTCTTGCTCGTCGTTTTCAGACCCTTTTGGTTACAATCTCCCAGTTTTTCTTTGGGAACACAACCTCTTTTCCCACTGATTGTGGTTTTGGTGGGATGGCAGTTAAGGTGTCCTGCCAACAGGATGCTCCTTTGGAATTTGAATTTTGAATCGTGGGATACAAGGACTGACAGTGATTGGCACGGATTCAGCCCGGCCGAGGTGCTCTGAAGAAGCCACTCATTAGTTCCTGCCTCCAAAGATCCCTGGAGCTGCTCTGGTCCCTGAACTTGCTAGAGCCTGGTTCTTCAGATTTTTCTTCATATCTGTGAGCTGTCTCATATCCTTACAATAAATGTCTCTCTCTCTCTTTTTATTTTAAGTTAGCCAAAACCAGTTTCTGTTGCTTTTACCCAAAGATGCCTACCACTATAGAGCTATTATGATTGGAACTGACCAGACTTAATCGTTCTCGTTCTCATATTGGTCCTGATGGTATTTTTTCTTTTCTTTAAAAACGAAAACAAAACAAAACAAAAACCAGCCAGAGACTGCTGCTGCTTTGAAACGTACGATAGAAGCCCTGATGGACAGAGGAGCGGTCGTGAGGGCCTTGGAAAACCTGGGCGAACGAGCACTGCCCTATAAGATCTCCATGCACAGCCAGCGGCACAGCCGAGGCGGGTAAGTGTCCTCGTGAAGCACTTGGGAATGGCAAGCCTACTGTTCGCCAGTATTAGAAATTGTCGTAACTGCACACAGTCAGCTCCTCGTGGTGCCTGGTGTGGTTCATGCGCATGCCCTAGCAACAAATGGGATGCAGTTGTGCTGGCCCTAACTAGCCTCTAATTAGAGCACAAAAACAGGCAGGCCAGCCTGGAGCAACAGCCTGATAAGCTCTTCATTGTGGGCAGCTTTCCTTATCAGCCAAAGCAGTGTTTCTCCCTGGCATTTAACTTTTGCCTTTAGAACACCTTAGTGGACCGTGTTGTCCACATACTAGTGCATCCGTTGTAAATATGTAGGTTGCAAACTGTGCTGCTTTTGCCTGATAGATATAACCAGAGCCTAATCCGCAATAGGAAAATGGTTCTATCTACTCCAACTAATGGTCACAGTTTTCCGTAATGGGATTTTTTTCTCCCACTGTGTATAAGGCAGCTTCCTCAAACATATGGCAGGGGTTTGATTCTGAAGTAATAACTGTCTTTGTAGAAGTTCTTTGAGAACAATATAAAGTTGGTTTGAAGCTTCTATAGGCCCTAATAATGGTGGCTTTTTTAAATACCTGTGGTTCTGATTTAGGGGCAAAAAATCTTCTCACGTTGGGTTTCCTAGAAGTAGGTGTTAGGGAAGATGGGAATCGGTTTTTAGTATATGATGGGGAAAGTACAGGAGTAGAGAACTCGATTCTCCCTCGGTCCTCAGTGGCGTGGCCTCGAGCAAGTCACTCAGCTTCTCTGATTCCAGCTTCTTCGAGCATTGAACTGGGGTAAGCCTTCCCCTGTCTGCACCGTCAGGGGCCCAAGCGGGATAGCCTCTCAGATGCGCTCTGTGCAGCACAGTGCTGCTTTGCGCCGCGTGGAGCTAGTGGCCTTGTGCAGGTGCAGCACAGCCATGGGCCCGAGTGGAGTCACGTCTCCCCCATGCTGGCTTCCTTACTGCATTTAAACCTTCCGCTGCACGTACTGCACGTTTCATCTTCTGATTGCTTCACCTTGTTTTGTGCTGGTGCTCAGCTTCTCGAGAACACCTCCGAAGAGAGTGCCTGGACGTTGCTAGGCAACAGGGAATGCAGTGGCTAGGCTTCCTCCGTCGGCTTAACAATGAGGGATGAGTGAGTGTGTGTGGAACGTTTCTTTCTTTCTTTCTTTCTTTTCTTTCTGTGCAACCACAATGGGTTGGTTTAACAGCAAGGCTATGAATTCTTTTGCCTTTTTGTTTAAAGAGGAGCGTATAAAATCTGGACACAAATTATTAGCAAGGTTCTTGGGTGGAAGGCCCTGAGTGAGGGAGGAAGAAGTCAGGTCCCTCATCCACGCTGTGCTTGCAGGGTGCCTGGGAGGGGTGCTTCCTTTCGTCCTCTTTCCAAGTTGAGGGTATGATTTTGCTGAGGGCTGGCGTGACCAGCATCCTAGAATTTGCACTTCCCACAAGTGCCTGGATAATGATGGTGCCACTTGTCTGAGGACCACACTTTGAGAGCCAGCCTATTAACTCATTTAGTTTTCAGGCCTCTGTGTACCACGCTAGACGGGTTGGGGAGAGGACTTGCTGCTTCACTTTTCAAGTGGAAAAATTTCAGGTTCTGGAAGAATCCATCTGGGACTAAGCCAGAACCGCTGAGCCCACTGGCTCCGCATTCTGGCTTCCTGACAAGGGGCACGTGCCTCACCAAGGACTGTGTGACTGTGTTGCGTTCCCTTCATCCGTTGACATTTGAAGACCTTATTTCTGGTTCTTTTACTTTCACCCTCCTCAGCAAAGGAGAAGCAACGTTCTGTATCACATATGTCTATGATAGACAGACACAGAAAGGTGGTGCCCAGCTGCAGAGGGGGAGGTTCACGTTTTAAGCTCATTTTTCTGGCATAAACCAATGTCTGGTATTTATTTGTTTTAAGGTCATGTTTTTTAAAGTATGGTCCCTGAAACGCTTTCTATAGATATGCTCCACCAAAAGAAAAAGTGGGGTGTGTGTGATGTGGAAGATTTGCATGATCTAACCCCTTATAGCAGCGGTCCCCAACCTTTTTGGCACCAGAGACCGGTGTCATGGAAGACAGTTTTTCCACAGACTGGAGGCCCGGCGGGAGGAGGAGAGTCAGGTGGTGATGCCAGTGCTAGGGAGTGGCGGTAAATACAGATGAAGCTTCACTCGCTTGTCGGTCACTCACCTCCCGCAATGCACACCTCCGCCCTTTCCTAAGTTTCATGGAAGACAGTTTTTCCATGGGGTAAGGGAGGAGCTGAGCTCTGCAGCCCTGTCCCTAATAAGCCTAGGACCGGTACTGGTCCCCGGGCCTGGGGGTTGGGGACCGCAGCCTTACAGAGATTCACAGTGCACACTGGCACGTGCATTGGCCTGTTTGAAGGGAAGTCCTTCAGTAAGATCCCTTCATTTATTAATTTTATTTGACCGTGTTGCCTTTGATTTTTGTAACCTCCATGAATATGCTTCATAGTGACTTTTGGGAAATGAGGGGCTAGTGTAGTTTAGAGTTACCTGGATAAGGATTTGGAATTGAGCGGTGTGTCCAGACGTCTATAGTGTGGAGCTTAAGGTTAGTCAGATATTCTCTTGGCTTCAGCCAGTCCCTCCACAGTCACCAACCCCAGCCTTGTCTGTCACCAGGCTTTTTGCTCATTTGGCAAATTTTGTGTACACATAGCCACCAAAGGTGTTAGAAACATTTATGAAGTGGATTATGTGCTGTGGTGTGCATGGTGCCGGGAAGGCTCACTTATTTGAAATGGTTGGGAAGAAACAGTGGTCTTGTTGGTTATGCATTTAGCATTCAAAATTTTGGCCCTTTTTGAACAGCCCTGGAGGTCATGACAAGTATCTGCAGTTTGGGGAAGGCGCTGGTCTGACGTTGATCCTGACGCTGGGGTGTGAGAGCCGGTGTTTTAGCCAGAGTAAGCCTGGGTGCTCTGAGAATCCCTGTCCCATTATGGTGCTGTTGGTGTCACGTGTTTAATTGCTTTTCCATTTTATGGGGAGAAATGGTATGTCCTAGTGGTATCCCTAGGTCTCAGGTTGTGTCTTGGGATTGTCATGGTTCCTGGTCTCAAGGAGTTTTTCAGTCTAATCAGGGAGTTGGCTGCATAGTGCTAATAACCTAGGCATGGGCAAGAGGTGTGAGTGAAGGTGGCCAGAACAGCAGCGCATGGAGCCAGGCCTGGGGCTTTGTCAGGCGTCTCTGTTCCAGTTGTTTCCAACATGTTGGGTGATAGCTCCACCGTTCCCCATCCCCACTTCCTCCCTCCAAGTCCACCCCCCCACCCCACGCATGCCCAGTAGGCTGGAAGAGAGAAGTAGGTAGGAGAGACCCTGCTGCTCTTGGTGATCTGGGAAGTCTTCCCAGAGCGGGAGGGGATACTTTGGAAGTGGCACCTGGTGTTTATTATTATACCACGACTATTACCAGTTCATGCCAAAAATAAAAATATAGTCATTCTAAATATTAATTTAGTCAGTCTCCACTTTAGAAGCAGGTTATGTTCCAGAAATTTGTCTGTAAGTCTGTTGTTTATAAATGGGAACTTATTTTCCCATTGGAACAACTTGATGGTTAAGTTCCCAGACTGGTCCACAGAAATTTACTTGATTCATAATCTCTGGGGGTCAGTAGAACTGGGTGAGTCATTTATGTACAGCTGAGGACCATTTTAACCTTGTTTTTAAAAATGCTGTTCTGTGTACCACCTGCCAGGAGAATGGGGCCTGGGTCGAGTCACCCTTAGAGATGGGGACAATATCTTAGACATCTGTAACTTATTAACACGATTTTTCTGTCTTCCAAGGGCAACCCTGTTTCAAGTCAGCTGTCCCCAGGGGATGTGAATTTAGGAAGAGGGGGCATTCACTAGATACCCCTGTAGGTCGGGGAGGCTGGGTCTCGGATGGAAGATTCCCACTTCACTCACCACCTGTTGTCACCAAGCAGTGTTTGGAAACCCCTTGAGCATGCCCTGGAGCTGAGGCCTCAAAAGGCCTGGGAATCATCCCCTGTGCTGGATTGGCTTTGGTCTCCTTCAGGCCCCCAGGCTGTGTCCCCTTTGTGCCTCCAGGGTGCTCACCTCAATATCCTCTGGACCCTGTGGGGAAGGCAAGGGTGGTGTGGAAAATTCTTACTGTATTCCTCGGCGTCTGGAAGGGGATGTCACCTAGGCAGGAGGGAGCAGCGGGAATGGAGGCTCATTTAGCCCCTTGCTAAAAAGGGGCAGGCGTTTTACGGAGTCGAGTTGTAGTAGCAGTCGCCGTGTGCCAGGACTACGTCAGCATCTTACTCTGGGATGCACGTTGCGGTCCTCGTTCCACTAGATGGGGCTGGGCTGAGGCTGCGAGGGAATTGTAGGAATGGCAGTCGGTGTGGGAGCCCTGGGCTGTGCTGGTGTGTAAAAGACGCCTCTGCTGGGGTTTGACTCTTTTTCCCAGGTCTGATTTTACCGCAGTGAGATCAGGCTGACTTCCAAATGCCTGTGTGTGAGAACTCTTAAGTAGTGAAAGCAGTTTTTCTCACCTGTTTTACACCTTTCCCTATTCTTATCTGCTTTAAAATCTGGGTGGGTGCCTATAGCAGAGATCTACTGGCCTACATATAAGATACCCTTCTATTTACGGGTAAGCGGGATGGTAAAAATAACTGGCTCCATGGTGAATCAGTGGAATTTTACCGACTCGCTCCCCAAATGTGTCTGCAGCTTACTCCAAGAGCGCTGGCACCCTCTCTAGAGGAGATTGATTCTCCTCTGTAGTTTTCCCGTTAGCTAACATTTCCATGTTCTCGTGCTTTCTGCCAGCATTAAGTCAAGGCCAGCATCCTGACCCCATTCTTGTGTTTAGGTGCTCTGCGCCGAGTTTTCAAGGCAGGGCTGCTGTGGCCTTGGAGGTTTCTTTTTAGTGGCAATGTCCCAAGATTTGTAAGGATTCTGCAGCTTGTTTAGTGATTTTTAAAATG